TGTCGAGAAAAATTCTGGACAAAATGCCATTTTAAAAATACAAATTTCCCCAAAAATCGCGAATGGAAGTGAATTTTGAAAAAATGAAAAACACGTCTGGAGATATTTACATGATGCATCTTCCGCGAAAAAATCTCTGAAATCTGCTCACTCACAGCTGAGATATCGCCATAACTATGAAAAAAAGAATAATAATAATAACTAGTAGACTAATTGTTCTCGAACAATTAGAGGTCTTTCCACCTTCTTTAAATTTCATATATTTTTCATATTTTACTCTCTGAAGTTAATTTTTATAGAAAAAGAATCCATAAATGGCTTGAAAGATAGAAAAAATGAAAATTTAAGAATTTTGAAATGACCTTGACCTTTGACCTTGAACAAATATTCAAGGTCAGAGGTCAAGGGTCACATTGCACTTGACCCTATGCTTCTATGACTTTTAGTTTTAAAGTTATAAGGTTTAATAGTAAGCGCAAAGACGTTAAAGGGCTATAACTCATATAAGGGGTCATCGGATACTTTCGCACTGAATAGACTGAAGTTGTGTCTAAAGATCCTGAAGACGTTGGTGAAGGTTTTGTGTCTCTACGGTTTACGGTTTAGGAGGAGTAGCGATAACAAGGTTTTCAGTAAAAGGGGCAATAACTTTTAAAGGGGTAATTCTTAGGGGACAAGTATGAAATCTTTGAAATAGTTTTAAGAGGACATATTAATGATGCAAAGATACTTAGTATAAATTGAAAGACAAAAGAGATATAAAAAGAGCTTAATTTCTCATATTTTGAATGACCTTGACCTTTGACCTTGACATAAATTTCAAGGTCTGAGGTCAAAGAATCTTATCCAGTTGGTTTCATGTCTCTAAGACTTATCGTTTTGAAAAAAAATTATTATTTGTAAACTTCAAAAACTTTCAGGGGCAATAACTCATAAAAGGGGTCCACGAATACTTTCGCAACGAAAAGATTGAAGAGTCTCCTCAATTAGTCGAAGACATTGGTGAAGGTTTCGTACCTCTACGGTTTACGGTTTCGAAGGAGTAGCGATAACAAGCTTTTATTGCAAAAGGGGTAATAACTCTTAGAGGGGTCAAAGTTCATATACGCAGGGTCAACTGTAACAACCTTTTAAAGAGTACATTCTTATAGACTATAAATCTTTTCGATATATCTTGAAACATAGAATCACATCAGGGGGTGGAAAAATAATAATAATAATAATAATAATAATAATAATAATAAACAGAAGAATATCAATAGGTCTTTCCACAGAAAGGTGGAAAGACCTAATAATAATAGAAAACAGACGGAAAACAATAAGGTCTTCCGAAGGAAGTCGGAAGACCTTAATAATAAGAAACAGAGTAAAAACAATATGTTCCCCAACTTCGTTTGGGGAACATAATAAAATCTTTACTGTTAACGCTTTCAGCCATGTTGGCTCTTCAGACAGTTATGAAAAGTTCAAAACGTTGCCAATAACGTTGCTAATGACGTCGTAAAAATCTTAGGTATTATGACGTCACAATGAAGTTTGTGGTAGCGGCTACATGAACTTTTTCAACGCAGTTAAAATACAATGTATAATTAAAGCATAGAAATAATATAAAATCTGTGAACACATAATCTATCATTTGCGATTTAGTTTTGGATTAAACAGTCTTATAAAATAGTCCTCTTTGGTTACACGGGCGCTTTCATCCGATGTCCACATTTTGTAGAACGGGAAAATCTTAAATTTTCCTTTACCACACTCAGCAAAATGTTCTGAACATGGGGTGCATCTGACAGTTTCGTCCCTTATATGCTGTTTGTGAACCTTAACTCGTGCGTTGAGTTGATTTGTCTGCCCTATATAATGTTCTCCACAGGTAGGGCATATTGCACAGTAAATCAAATTTAAAGATTTAAAATTCATACTGGTATTTGGTTTTAAAATTTTCCCGTTTTTAAGTGTAATATGTTCGCCCTCCTGAATGAAATCACACGTTCCACATCGGGGGTCACCACACTTTTTGACGACTCTCTGGTTGCTAGAGGAAAATTTCGCTTTGGTTAAAATCCGCCTCAGGTTTGGTGCTTGTCTTCTGCTGTTAATTATTGACGATTTGTCCAGAAGATTTTTCATGTTTTCAGATTGTTCTAATATTGGAAAAAATCGTTTCGCTGAATTTAGAATATTGTGGTTACGTGCCCTACCTGTGGAGAACATTATATAGGGCAGACAAATCAACTCAACGCACGAGTTAGGGTTCACAAACAACATATAAGGGACGTAACTGTCAGATGCACCCTATGTTCAGAACATTTTGCTGAGTGTGGTAAAGGAAAATTTAAGATTTTCCCGTTCTACAAAATGTGAACATCGGATGAAAGCGCCCGTGTAACCAAAGAGGACTATTTTATAAGACTGTTTAATCCAGAACTAAATCGCAAATGATAGATTATGTGTTCAAATTTAACAGTCAGCCAGGTGGTAGTTTTTATTAGTCCCCTACCGGTGAAACCGGAGGGGACTATAGGTTACCTCTGCGTCTGTCCGTCCGTCTGTCTGTCTGTCTAGCTGTCCCTCTGTCTGTTTGTCAGTCTGTCTCACTTGGTTTTAACGCACTTTTTTCTTAAACGCCTGCTGATATTTAGCTGATTTTTGGTATGTGACTTTAGTTACTTGGTTAGTTATAGGTTACTTGGTTAGTATAGATTAAGTTTGCATTTCGTTCCGCTTCAATATAGGATTGACTATATAAATTATTTTGTTCATTGAGAAATGAATCTAAAAACGAATCGCACACTTTATGAAAGCCGAAGGCTTTCATAAAAAAGTGTGCGATTCGTTTTTTAGATTCATTTCTCAATGAACAAAATAATTTATATAGTCAATGCTTATAATTCAATTTCAGCGAAAAACATGTTTCTTTTCATGTACATACTCATTATTTAGCTAACTCAAAAAATTGTGCACGAAATTTACATGCCGACAGGTGCGTAGAAATATATCGATTGGAAAATTACACGATTCTTGGGAGCGGATCAAAAGCCTGTAGTACACAAGGCGGGTATAATTTTCTTTTAAATGTTATAAAAATAAAGAATTCCCCGTTATGTTTTATTGTCTTTATAATGATTTACTAAGTTATCGATTACGTGAGTTATGAAAATCTGCACGTGCAATTTTTAAAAGCGATTACACATAAAGCATGCAGAAACTTGCTTTGTTGTCAGTAAGCAAACGGTCAACGGTAACACGTCGAGTGGAGTGCAGTGGAATATTAGAAAGAGATATCTTCAGCTTGAAAAAATCTAGAAATAAACTTGCTTATCGATACACCTTAAAATACACGTACAACTTGTTACAATTAACATGCATATGGTTAATACCCTGTATAAAGTTGATGTGCAGACGAAATACTTGAGAATGTGATAATAACACTCACATCAGGAAAACTTAGTCTAAGGTCCTTCTTATCATTTAATTTTCATAACCTACATAATAATTTGTTTTTCTAGTTTGGTTTTTCAATTTGTACTAAATTCAATGTAAATTCTTTCTTTACAAATAAAAAACGTAAAACACGTGCTTCTTTACAGAGTTATATCCCTTGCCATCCCCGGCATTACCCATTGAAAACAATTACCTCGCTTAATAATTCATTTGAATATTTTTCTTTTTTCTTCTCAACAAGAATTTTTATTATAATATTTAAAAATAGAATTTTATGATTAAATATTTCCTTTAAAGCACACGGAGAGAAACAAAAGATTTACAGAAGCTGAATTTAAATCATGAAAATAACATTGTCGTACGTTTTAGAGTCTATTAGTTTATAACACAGTCGGGTTTACATAATTATTGGAAAGACAAACAATAACAACAATTGTATCGAAATGAATAATGAGAAGTAGAAAATTGACGTTACATTCATCGGAAAATGAACAGAGAAAATTCTCCGTAGAAGTATATTAATTTAAAGGGATGAAAGGAAGGAAAATTGAATTATTGATTTTTGACGGAATTATGGCATTTTCAGGTAGATGCTAGTTCAGATCACTTACAGGGAGGTCGCCTTTCATTCACCGCATTTTTTTTTCAATTTTTAACGGAAACCAGATTACACTTGCCTGTAGGAGACTAGTATTACTAATGCACTCTCAGAATGCTCGTTATTTTATGTGAATCATGATCAACACTTTCCACCCAGACCTTGGTTCTGATAGCAGCAGGTTAGATTTCTCTTACTAATTTTACTCATTTGATTGATGAATTAATTCTTTTTACTTTTTGACTATGACATGTAAAGTAAATGTGAAGTTTATCTTAAATTTAAGATTTGAATAAATTATTTTGCTTCATTAAAAGGCTTAATAGTTTTTAATAAATAATCTGATTGTTAAAACTACATTGAAGTGTGTGAGCAGCACCTTGAACTATTTCATATTATTTTGATGACTAGGTGCTGATTTCCCATGATTTGATATTCAGTACATGTGTATGATATATTAAAAGCCTTCTGACACATTGTCTTTGGTAAAAACATGCATTATATATTTTAGATATTTTCCTTAATTCTTTAAATTGGTTAATCAAGGTATTGGTTATAAAGTATGTTTGACATATATTTTTTATCTACAAAGCTAAAACCAAAATCTATTTTTACTTCAATTTTTATGAGTTTTATTTGTTTATGCCTATGTTAATGAAAAGTTATTGCCCTTTATTCAGAGTGAAGTATCAAGAAGGAAAGTATAATGTTGAACATTTTGTTATACTATTTTATTTCAAGTTTGATTTGTTATTTTGTGTTTATAATTACTTGCTTTGCAGATTTACATGTGTTTATAAATAATATATTTTCAATTTTAGGGCTCAGGATCTGATTACCATGTAAATAAACAATTATGTTGACCCTCACAGTCTCATTCTTAGTGGACCTGTATCACATATATCAACAAATATGAAATCTTAAACAGTTTTAATTCATTAAGGTAAATATTACTTACAGTCTGCGAACTTATGGAGACAATTTCGCTGTTCTCCTTGGTTTTTCTCTTCTTTTTCTTTTTCTTCTTGTGGCGTTTTGAATGATTGGCGTACTCCTCCATTGATCCTAGGGTGTGTTTGGTCGTAATGTTAAAATGTTGTGCTAGTTTTCTCCAATTTCTCCTAGCATTCATTTCTAACTCGTGGTTTATCTTATTTCGGAATTTGATTTTCCAGTATACGATGAAAAGGATTATGCCAAGGAGAAGCAGGATAGGCACTGTTGTTCCGACTATTAAAGCAATCGGGACTTCGTCGTCGGACAGAGTTGCCTCTTTATCTAATCAATATTAATACATTGATCAGAAAAGTTTATATTACAGAAACACAATTAATTTGACTTTTTTATATTCCCAAACGGCATCATGCTTATTAAACCAAGAACACGTACATGAAGTTCAAATTAAAATGCACTCACATTGATCTACCAGGTAAGCCATAACACCTGGTGACGCCACATAAGTAGATGTCTGGTTGTATTGACAGATCTTTGGATGATATGTCAGGTATACCTGATCACCGCTGCTGGTGATTACCTTTGGATAGAGATTCAGAATTCAATTTTAGAATTGTTGAACTTTGACAACAATTGTAATACGTCTTAAAGTGAATGTCATATAGTAAATTATTAACATACTTTCATTAGTTGTTAAAAACTTACATAACATAAAAATCTGTACGTGTTAGTTTCGTCCGTAGAGGAGTCCATGTTATACACTGTCAGATAAGTCGTGAATCCAGATAGCACAGAGTAAATGCAACTTACGTTACCGCTGGCTAAGAATTACAAAGTAAACGAGAAAACTATTCATTTACTGAAGCTAAAAATAGAATGTTACTACTGGCCAATTACATTGACTGCAAATTAATCATCGTTATGTACAAATTGAAAAAAAAAAATCTTCTTCATCAATGAAAAGCGTATTACAATGATTAGTGTTGAATATGAGACAAATACACAGAATACAGCTTTACTGAAATACAAATGTAATTATAAAGTCTACCATCCTTAGAAAATCTTCAAGATTTATAATAACCGTTACACTCACTTGTAAATGTCAAACTAGTTGAAGCACACGAACTATTGTAAGTATGTATGAGGTAGGTTGGGTTTGTCATTCCATAAACGATGTTTCCGGTGCAGTCAGAGTTCAAGGTCATGTCAAGGGTGCTAGCAATACTATCAGGACAGGTTATGAAATCCGAGGTCTCGTTACCTTCACAGAAATGAAAAGAAGAGTTTGAGTTGTGTTGCATCTTTAAAATTGCTAAAACGTTTTCAATATGCAGGAGAGTTGGGTTATAATAAGAAAAGTACGACATTCATCAATGGCGTAACAGTTTATGGGTCACGTGGTACCTTTTTTAACGTACACCTCCTGGGTCCCTATGGGTATGGCTGATGTCAGATTACAGGCCTCCGCTGCGGGGAGGAGTGTAGAACTAGATGCCACGACAGTCTTACCCACCACTCGTTCCTGAACAAAGTCTAAGATATCTTTGGGACAAAATTCATTTCAGAAATTTTATTAGAACCGTTAAAACTGACATATCAAAATTTACACTGCTAGTAATGCATTTATAGTAAATCTATATCATGAAAAGGACATCATTTTACATTTCTATTATTTATTTTTATCATTATATTATTATAGCTTTATCTACCTGAGTTATAGTTGACTAGATATTTGGTTTCCGTAACTTTTGTAAATGACATACAGAAATACACATCATACAGACTGGTACTGAGGACTGGGATCCGGGCTCTGAAATAAAGAAATATTATATGTATGTATCCATACCTAGAGAGAAGACCCGTAGGAAGTAATTTCAAGGGGGGGGGGGGGCAACCAAACACTTTCAATTCAAAAATTCCTTGGAAAGCAAAAAAAGTCATCAAATGTTTTAATTGAGGGGACAGAAGCATATAATAGCTATGTTTTCTATAATACTCTACATATCAGGGGCCGTCACGGTAGCTCATTCGGTAGAGCGCTGGGCGCTCGGCACTTTGAAGTGAAAGTTGGGGTCCTGCGGATGAGAGCTTAAAAACCTAGGCCCCTTTTCACGACAGTCGTTTGGCACGATAAAGATCCCTCACTGCTCTTCACCGTTATATGGTTCGTCTCTATATGAGTGAAAAATTCTCGAACGGGACGTAAAACAACACACAAATCAATCAAATTAATTTGGGCCACCTACCAGGTTCAACGGTTCCTAGGCACTAAGAGAGAGAGAGAGAGACTTGCACTGAGGGATAAAATCTTGTAGTGATAATTCTATTTAATCTCCGAGATACATGTATGAATACAAGGTTTAGTCGTAGAACGATCTGACAAGCTAACGAGTCAAAATGTAAAGAACCGCGAACGCTAACTCTCGATTTCCGCCTACATTTTAAATCTCATAAATGGACACTATTTTGAATGCAAATTTGACACTTCATCAGTAATTGATTAATAGCTCTGATACCAGTTTTGATTTAATTGCTGTTAAATACAACTTCTTTCTGAGGAGAGGCGTTTAATTTTTTCCATCGAAATCAGACTTTACAGCGTAACTGAATTTTGAATTATTTATGGATGTGGATACATAATCTCTTAATCTTTCCGTTCGACAAACTTATGTAAAACTTATTACATGTTTATCAGGGGCCCGTTTTACAAAAGAACTTACGATTAAGACTAAAAACTAAAGTTGATTGTAAAATTTTGCAAAATTAATGATTCTGCTAAAAATTGCTAGCGTAAAAATATCTTACTACATTCCTTTTAAAAAGATTAAAACCATTTTCAATATAATGTAAATTAAAAAGTTACAAGCAGAATTAAATTTTGGTCTTAGTCGTAAGTTCTTTTGTAAAACGGACCCCTGGTTCACTTAGTAAAAGTTTATAGTTATGTTATACAACTACATGTATTTGAAATCGGTCGTGAAATCACCATTTTTGGTGTATTTTGGTCTGTAAACAAATATCCCCCCTCCCCCGAAACAACAAAAGCTTTGGCATGAATTTGCTAATGTAAAGAGGGTGGGGGTGTTTTTAAAAATATTTTCCGTTTTCCGTTGATTTCTTTAGTGAAAACCACAAGTTTTACCAATATTGAAGAGTTGTCTCCCTTTGTTTTCCCAAATCTGTTTTGTGAAAATTCAAATAAATATCTAAAAAGACTAAATATGAAAAATCAAACAAATATATTAACTTTTGAAAATTGACTTGAAGGTAGGCGGCAGAACAATACTATCGTTTGCAGTTCTCTAACTCCTTGGTATATTCTGATATGATTTTCTGACTTTTGAATACCTCGTGATGTATCGGCCATTATCGATGTATTCACAGTCGAAGGTATGAGTGGAGGTGTGAATCAAGCTTTTGAAATTGCTGATGCTCTGATTGGTAAACGTCACAAGGCCATTGCTTGTTGTGTACCACTCTCCTCGAAGATCGGAGGGAAATTCACAAGCTCCATCTAAAAACAATGCAACGAAGACAGATAAGAAGATTAGTAATTGTAAAATATATCAAATAATCAATTGGTTTTGATTTTGGTATATTGAAGTATGGTCATACACACCTGTTAGTTGACAGAGATAAACTAGAGAGAAGTACAGCGGACAGACGAAGCCCAACATACCGTCTCCCTTCATCCCATTATGTCCTCTGACCAACAGTTAAACTTTAATCCTACTTGACTGAATCATTTTTTGCAATATATCAAGTAAACGAGATAATTCTTATATATTGTGTTCAGTTAATAAAAGCAAGGGCCAGTTAGTGTTGTCATTAGAGAATTAAATGACTGAACACGTCGTTAGTCAGGTACAATGGGTGTTAACGACACCGCGTGCACCTTGTCGGATTCCACTGTTTATACAATATAGGCGAATATAAGTAAACTTATTTTCTTTAAATTTTTAAATGATATTGCCAAGCTTATTGTCATTTTACTGACTTTTTCTTTATTAGAGCCTGTTCTTTGCGATCACATGAAAGCCTCTTTATAAAAAAAACAAAATTCATAATACACGGAATGGGTAATCTTCTTTATTTACGAATTTTGTCCGCTTAATCAAACAAATATTATCTTTCGCTATTACTGGAATATCGTTTAAAATAAATTGGAATGTTTATGGGTCAGGTACTGGAGAATTTAATTGCAATAAACAGGTAATGAAATTAACCCAAGTGTAGGGTCGTCGATAAAGAGGAATCGGATTTTATTGACAATGATCATGATTATTTCATAGCTCTGTATCTTGTTCAACTGAAGTCCAAATCTATCAATATATATATATATATATATATATATATATATATATATATATATATATATATATATATATATATATATATATAGAAAGCACAAAGAAATTCACTTTTACAAGGATACCCGCTTCCGCCCCAACCCGGGCTTGAAATCCCGACCTATGGAGTCTTTCTCCTAGCTGAGCACAGGAACAGCGTGCGAGACCACTCGGCCATCTAGGCAAGTCAAAAATCTTGCTTTCAATGCCGATGGAATTCTCGCGGCGCTGCCCTACACTACACGGTCATTGAGAATGTGCAGTTATTTGGATATAAGTTTTATTTCAGGATACACATTGTAATGAAATTAATTTTATTTTTTAATAAAGCACATTTTACCATTTTACAACTCTTAAACTAAAATAACTGCCCTAAGTGAAGAAATATTAATATAGGGTTATATATATATAGGAGGAATTAAGTGGAATCTCAAAATCGTTTTAAAAGTCCACAACACTCACCTGAGTCACCTTAATTGGCCCTGCTTTTCTTCATTAGAAAATTTATTTTCCCCCCGCTTTATTCACGTTATAAATTCTTACCACAACAATGTGACACCCCCCCCCCCCTTGCCCCAAGAAGCCACGACATAATTAGATTTGAATCCACACATCCTGGAGATGCTTCAGTATGACTAGATATCCTTGCTTATGTGAAAAACAAGATTTTGTCCGTGTATACATGCATTACGGAATTTGATCCCCGATTTTTGCCCTACTCTAACCGCAGGATTTATGCTTAAAAAGATGAATCCACCAACTTGAAAATGTCTGCATATAAATCCGATTTACTGTCTGTCGTGCTATCTTTACAAGATTCTTTTTTTAAAATAAATTTCATATGTATATTTTATATATACATGTATTTACTTTAAGTTATTGATCCCCGATTGTGGCCCCACCCTACATCCAGGGCCATTATTTGAACAAACTTGAATCTACACTACCTTAGGATTTTTGCATATTGACATTAATACAAGTAATGGCTTTTCAAAAAGCTTGTCTGACTAAATCAATCAATATCTATGGAAAGTATAAGCAAGAGAAGTGCTAAACGTTTCCCTCTTCAAGGAACGACAAAGTTCACTTAGTTGCGATACTTCATTACACAAGATGTACAACTGACTTTCTCAAATGTCATGTAACCAAATATTGCAGCTGCAGATCAACGAATATCGAAGACATGCCACTGTTTGGTCATTAATTAGTTAGCCTACGGGCTGACCTGTTATGTATTTATTACAGTTATAGTAACACCTGTGTCGATCGAACACGTGTTTGTTTATTTATATTTATACCGGAAACCAATTTTCATTGGTTAGCTATTTCAGAAATAGAATCTGTTAAACAGGTTTATCTATATGACACTCCTTCTCACCAGTTTAACAAGTAAACCCCTCTTCGCGCAGTTTAGACGTGCCTAACCTAATGGCGGAAAATAGCGAAGAAGAATTACTTCAAGAGCCCAGTTTTACTCTAGCGGAAATTGCAAAAAATACAAGTACTAGTAGTACATTTGCTTTGACAGACACTGTGCAGTTAATTTCAGTACTCAGTTTCAACAGCTCACCGAGAAACTTCAACAAGAAAATAACAATTCTGCGCAGTTATTAAAGAAAAAATTGAAAGAGAACATTGCTGGAAAGCTAAAGTTTGAAGGTAACAAAGTACAATACACATTTAATGAAGAGTGCTTGGAAGAAGTTGAAAAACTTAAAGATTTATCCTCTGCTGACCAAGGAATTGTCAAACGTTTGAAGGAAAAAATCAGTACAAGACAGAAGTACATAAGAATCGCAGATGGGTCGCCAGCAGGATGGAAAACTCTCCAGGAATACCAACTCAACGACGTTGCCGAAAATTCCGATGACGAAAAACGGATCAAAAGTGCAGAAAACAGGGCCCTTAGGCAGAGCAAACAAGGAAAGAAATTAAGATTTCAACCTTATTCTAAACCAGCTCCAGCGGCCGCGGCTGGTTCTTCTGCTCAGCTTGCTTCTTTTGGTTTTCAACAACAGAATAATCCAATGCAATCAACAAACCCTTTTCTCAAGCCCCTTCGTTCGGCTAGCAGACGCACTCCGCAGCCCAGTGACGTCTGCTACAAATGCTTTCAGACTGGACACTGGAAATCCAGATACCCATCTCAGTTCTTCCACCTCCAAGTGAAGTGAATGATAAGTATTTAGTCAGTTTATATGTTTGACCAATACAATGATATATGAAATTTTATTGCAAGAGCACATTCATTTCTTTGATGATCTTAATTCTGGCGAGTCAGAAATTTATAAAGGAATAAAGAAAAGTTTGTCAAATCATTTAGATTTCTGGAAAAGAATAGGTACTTATGATCACATTTTAAGAATAATTGAGCATGGTTATCACATTACTTTTGAACAGAATCCACCCAGGATGTATCTGAAGAACAATAAGTCCGCTGGGGCTAATTCTTTGTTTCAGACACCATTGATGAAGTGATGAAATCAGGTTGTGTCTTACAGATGCCGTTCAAGCCTTTTGTAGTCAGCCCCTTGAGTGTAGCGGAGAACCGAGAAAAGAAGCGTCTTGTTCTAGATTTAAGTATTTTTAACAAGTAATTAAAGAGAGATAAGATCAAATTTGAGGATTACAAAACAGATCTACAATATTTTGAGAAAAATTGTTTTTGCATAAAGTGATCTAAAGTCGGGTTACCATCACATCGATATTAGTAAAGAATGCCAAACATATTTAGGTTTTCAGTGGAAGGATAAGTACTATTGTTTTACTGTCCTACCTTTTGGCCTTTCAAGCGCACCTTTCGTCTTTACAAAGTGCCTTAGATCTATGGTTCGATACTGGAGAGCGTGTAAAATTAGAATTGTATTATACTTAGATGATGGTTTAGCTATGGCTGAGACTTATGAAAAATGTGAGAGTATTTCAGATTTCATACAGAAGGCCTTGGAAGATGCAGGCCTGCTTATTTATTTTAGCAAATCTATTTTCAGACCAGTGCAAGAAATCGAATGGCTGGGTGTACAGTGGAATTCAGTAAAATTCAGTATTTGTATTCCAGAAAGAAGAATACAAGATGTAGAAGAGACGTTATCAAGCTTTATTTCTTTGTTACCTCATGTTTCAGCAAGATTTCTGGCAAAAGCTGCGGGAAAAGTCATGTCTTTGCATTCTGTTTTTGGAAATATTTGCAGATTGATGACTAGATTTTGTTATATGGAGATAGTGTTAAGAAAATCTTGGGATGCAAGAATCGATTTGAATTTTCAAGAAAATACATTGAGAGAATTGAATTTTTGGTTACAGAATATACGAGTCTATAATAGCAGAAAACTGACTAATACAAACCAAAAAAGTGTAATTGTTTATTCAGATGCTAGTAATGTCACAGCAGCGGCATGTACAGTAGGTGTAGACGAACATAAGTTTCACCAGATTTGGAATGAACATGAGGTTCATAAGAGTTCTACGTGGAGAGAAATGAAAGCTATTGAACAAGCTTTATTTTCATTTAAAGACATTTTGAAATACAATTCTGTTAAATGGTTCACAGATAATCAGAACTGTGTTAAAATATTTGAGTCGGGTAGCATGAAATTAGACCTACAAGAATTGGCATTTAGCATTTTTGAGTTTTGTAAAAAACGTAACATAAATGTCAATGTTCAATGGGTACATAGAAATGCTAATGAAAAAGCTGCATGATTATCTTAGTAAATTAATAGATTATGATGACTGGGGTGTTTCAATAGAATTTTTTGAATTTATTGATTTCATGTGGGGTCCACATACAGTTGACAGATTTGCTAACGCAAAAGACAAGAAGATGTGCAGATTTAACTCTGCTTTTTGGAATCCAGGTGCAGAAGCAGTAAATTGTTTTACTCAAAATTGGGAAGACGAAAATAATTGGCTCGTACCACCGATGAGTCTAGTTATAAAAACAATTAAATATATAATCAATTGTAAGGCAGCGGGAACTTTGGTTGTCCCAAAGTGGGTATCAGCGCCATTTTGGCCCTATATTTTTAGGGAAGAAATGAAAACGTATGATTAAGTGGCAGACATACTCGAATTTAAAAATTGTTCAAATATTTTCGTTCAAGGGATGAATAAAAATTCCATATTTGGCTCAGAAAAATTTTACTCCTTAGTGTCAGATATAAGATTGGATGCCCGTAAAACTTAATTTTTTTTTCTTTCAGGAGAGTGTATTGCAGTGATATGTCCTCGTTCACTTGATATGTATTGAAAAGGTCCTGGTACAATGGTACTGCATATGTGAAAGAATTATGTGTAGAAAAAGCATAGCGTTTGTGATATGACACAGAAATTAT